ACCCAAGGTATGAAGATTTACCCTTATGTTTTCTTCTAAGAGTTTTATTTATTTATTTTTTAAATTTTCTTTGTTTAAAAAATTTTTATTTCAATTTTAAATAATAATTTTTTTGGCTACTTGATTCAGCAGCTGAGTTGTTACACACTCCTTCGTGGAGTCCAACTTCCATGGCCACCGTCCTGCAAAGAGTTTTATAATTTTAGCTGACACTTAGGTCCTCAGTCCATTTTTATATGGCACAAGAGAGAGGTCCAACTTCCTTCTTTTCCTGGTTGTTCTGGCACGATTCATTGAACAACTATCTTTTCCCCATCGAATGGTCTTGTTGATCTTGATCGTAGATGCGTGGGTTTATTTCTGGACTCTCAATTCTATTCTATTGATCTATCTGTCTGTCCTGATGTCAGTACCACATAGGTTTGCTGTAGCCTTAGTGCCTTATTAAGCCTCAGTTTCCCCACCTGTAAAGCGAGGGTGGAAGTCGGTACGTGGCAGCGGTTTGTGGGTGAAATGAGCTGACATGCATGTGGTCGCTGACACCGTGCCCCGCCTGTAGTGGAAGCAGTGACTGTCATTACTATTATTAGCCTGGAAGGACAGCGCACAGCCAAGATGCGGGCTGTGCTCAGACGCTGTTCTAGGATGGCGGAAACACGGCGGCCACCCTGAAGGCATGTCGTGGTCCATGCAGGCTGCTGTACTGAAATACCGCAGACCAGGTACCGTATTGAGAAACCTGTGCCGTGAACACCGGCACGCCGTGCAGATGCCACAATGAACAGTGTACCTGCCTTATGGCCGATGCATCCACGCACCAATTCACTTTCTTTTGTGTTGCATTGCAAAGTAAGTTGCAAGACATCCATGCGCTGGCCCCATGCATACTTGGGCAGGCATTGCATTGGCTAAAGTTCAAATTGTGTTGTTGTTGTTTTCCCATAAAACCTATATTTTGGAAAAATTCCCCAGGGCGTTCTTCCCGGGAGAGACAACCCAAGAGAGTGGCTGAAACTTTAGGTTAATACCCACTGCCCCCCTTACTTGGGGAACCTGATTATTGAAAGACACCTGAGAGGAACCCTTTGTCCCAGGTGGCGATTGGTCCCTGGCTCTGCCTCTTGCTAGCTGTGTGGTCTTGGGCAGGCCGCATCACCTGTCCAAGCCTCAGTTTCCCCATCTCTAAAATAAGGAAAGTACCTACTTTTCCGGATTGTCATGAGGAATGACTGAGTCTCTGCACATGAAGTGCCTGGTGTGGCACTTGGCACACAGTAAGGGCTTAGCCGATGACAGTGACTGCGATTACAAAGATGTCACTGTATAGATACCCTTCTGGAACAAACCGCTTCAGGCAGCTGGGTTCTTTGTTCCTGGCAACCAGAGCATTTACGAGGCAGAAAAGGCCTCGTAACTGGGTAACTGGCGATTGGGCAGGGTGAGTGTGAAGTCGGGGCTCATAATTCCTCTTGCCTCAACCTTTGTTCTCAGTGGAGCAGGTGGCAGGAAACCCCCTTCCAGGGGTCTTTGATCTCACGTGGAAGGTGGGGCGGGGCTCGGGAAGGCCTGCACAGGGTTGCTTGAGGCCCGGGGTGAGGGCGGAGGATCGGGTGGGGGATAATCCTCCAAGGAGCGCAGGCTTACCCAACCTGTGTCAACAGATCCACTTGTCTGCTCACGACAGCAATTTAAGACACCGATTTTGCAACTCCTGGAGCTGATGAAACACGATAGCCCCTTGGATATTTTGCAGGAGATTCCAAGGAGCTGCACCTTAGTTCACACACAAGGCACCCTGGTGCCAGGAGAAGGGCTCACATGCTAGAGACAGTTTCAGAGTCAACCCACAGATGACTTCCAGGGACGCGTGGTCTGTTTTTAATTCCTTTGTTTGTTTTAGAGTTGAATTTGTTGCCAACGTACTTTGATGTGTGGAAATGTACATTCAAATGTCTTGAAAACCTAGATCTGCCAACACTGGGCCCATATCCCTGCCTGGCCACCACTGACCAAGTTGATCGACCCCTTTAGCCTGGACATCCGAGGGCCAGCTTGTCACTGCTACAGTAGGGTTACCTGCCTGGCCACTATTGGCATCTTAGTTTGAGTCCCCTGGCCTAACTGGTAAGACAGACACAGATCCAAGTATTTATGGTTCAAGACAGGCTGGGTGCGGTGGCTCATGCCTGTAATCCTGGCACTTTGGGAGTCTGAGGTGGGAGGATTCCTTGAGGCCAGGAGTTCGAGACCAGCCTGAGCAAGGGCGAGCCCCCATCTCTTCTAAGAAACAGAAAAATTAGCCAGGTGTGGTGGTATGTGCCTATAGTCCCAGCTACTGAGAAGGCTGAGGCAGAGGGATTGCTTGAGCCCAGGAGTTTGAGGTTGCAGCGAGCTATGATGAAGCCACTGCACTCTAGCCCAGGCAACAGAGCAAGACCCTATCTCAAAAAACAAAAAAAGAGTGCAGCAAGTATTGCAGCTTGGAACAGGGGCTCTCAATGGGGATGACTCAGCCCCCAGGGGTGAATGGCAAGGTCTGAAGACACTTTTTTTGTTTTGAGCTCAAGCGATCCTCCCGCCTCAGCCTCCCAGAGTGCTAGGATGATAGGTGTGAGGCACTGCGCCCGACTGAGGACACTTTTGGTTGTTACAACTTGAGGGGTGCTACTGGCATGCACTGGGGGGAGGGCAGGGCTGCCGCTCAGTGTCCTGCAATGCACACAGGACAGCCCCTACAACAAAGATTATCCAGCCCAAAATGTCAACAGGGCTGAGGCTGAGGAACCCTGGATCAGGGGCATCGGCAAACTGATCTGGAAGGGAGGGATTAATTCCAGTTGTGGACTCAAGAATGGCTCGCTGAAGAGAGGTCTTGGTGGCGGGCTGAGGGAGATTCAGGGCGAGCATGTCAGGTAGAGAACAGCATAAGCAAAAGTCCGGAGCCATCTCTGACGCCGAGGTGGGCGACAGTGTGGACGGTGAGATGGAGCCTGCGGTTCAAGGAGCAGGAAGTTTGGGGTCAGGTGGGCTTGGGTTTGAGTTCTGATTCTACCACTCGCTAGCCTTGCGGCCTCAGGCTTGTCGTTGGCCTGAACCTCTCAGTTTCATCATCTGTAAAATGGGGATAAGGAATGAGGTTATGTAGGCCCAGCATGGGTATCCCCACTCCTCCCTTTCTACTCTGCAGCCCAGCAGGTCTGAAATATTGGCCGTTTGCCAAATGCTTCCTGCTCTCTCCCCACTCTCTGGGCCCTCCATGTGCAATTCCCTCTGCCTGGAATGCTCACACTCCTGGTGTGTGGATTACACGATCAAAAGGTTACAAACCCAGCGCTAACGTGCTCAGACTTGTGGGGCTTGGGGGGAGGTGGGGGAGGCTAAATCTGGGGGCCAAGAGAATGGTGGGGAAATCCCAAGCTGAGCCAAGAGACCTGGGAGCCTCCGCCTTTACCCCAACTCCTTTCTCCATCTCTTCTCTGGCCTTCAGGTGCCCTGGGGAAGGCCAGTGAGGACCCGCCAGGCATGAGCGGTTGGATTCTCTCTTGGTTAATGTCCCTGCTTCATTCTCAGCCCAAGAGCTGGTTACCCTACAGCTCAGGGTTGTGGTGTAAAGGCTAAAACCTCACAGAGGCTACTGCCAAAATCACGCCCTTGCTGAATACCTGGTACTACTACAGGAGGCCCTGGGAGGACAAAGTCTCTCTTAAGAACTAATCTTTTTTTTGAGACAGAGTCTCACTCTGTTGCCCGGGTTAGAGTGCCATAGCGTCAGCCTAGCTCACAGCAACCTCAAACTCCTGGGCTCAGGCAATCCTCCTGCCTCAGCCTCCGGAATAGCTGGGACTACAGGCAACGTCCCACCATGCCCAGCTAACTTTTTCTATTTTTTAGTAGAGATGGGGTCTCGCTCTTGTTCAGGCTGGTCTCCAACTCCTGAGCTCAAATGATCCCACCACCTCGGCCTTCCAGAGTGCTAGGGTTACAGGCGTGAGCCACCGCACCGGCCAAGAACTAATCTTAACTTTAAGGATTGCCTGATTTAGGATTTGTGGACTTTGTTGACTGGGAACATCCAATTTTTAGAGAACAGTTTCTAGGAATTTTATCTGAAACATGTGCACAAAGACTTAGCTTTAACTAAATCGAATGTGAATCTAATTCACAGTGGTGATATTTATAAAGTGAAAAACTGAAAATAGCCTTAATGTCCAACTATAGGATATCAGTTAAATACATGATGATATAAATAGAACATTATGCAGTCATTTAACAGGAAGCAGGTGGATATTGGTACAGAAGGATGTCCGCTATTAAGTGAAGACAATATGCAAAGCAATGTTTTTATATCGAATATATATACATATATATTTTAAAACCTGGAAGCTAATACACCCAAAAGTTGACAGTGAATATCTGAGTGCTCTTGGCAATTTTTTTCTTGTTCTAGATTTTCCTTTTCTAAAATTTCTACAATAAATGTACATTTCTTTTGTGCATAAAATAGTCATATATTTTATCAATTTTTAAATTATTTTATGTGACTAAAATATAAATAAAAATAATAACCAAAGAAAGGGCAATTTCACCAGCTGTGCTCACTTCCTTTCCCAGCCTCGTCTCCTGACTCGATTCTCGATCACTCCCCACAAACATGGGCCTCCTAATTCATTTCAGGTATTTACTAACCTCCAAGTACTGTAAGGCGAGGTAAAGATGAATAGTCACCTTCTCCAGGTGATCAGCATGCACGCCAAATTTTGAGATGCGTTTACCTCCCAAACTTCACTTAATCACTCCCATTTAATTAATGACTTCATCCATTCATTTCTAACTCGCGGTGTTTATTTTGCTTTAGGTACGCATGCGCACTCCTGGCGGCTGGAGAGCGCCGCTCGCCCCGGCGGTCCCGCCTCCTGAGGCCGACGATTGGCCGGCTCCGCCAGCGCGCTCCTGATTGGTGCTGCGGGCCGGGCCTCGCTGCCCGTCAAAGTTGTGAAAGCGGCGGCGGGCAGCATGGCCGCGGCCGCTGACTCGCTTTCCCGCGCCGACGCGCCGGCAGTGCGGTTGCCGCGGTCGCCGCCGCTCAAGGTGCTGGCGGAGCAGCTGCGGCGCGACGCGGAGGGCGGCCCGGGCGCGTGGCGGCTGTCGCGGGCGGCGGTGGGCCGCGGGCCGCTGGAGCTGGCGGCCGTGTGGATGCAGGGCACGGTGCTGGCGGCGTGCGGCGGCGAGGCGCTGCTGCGGGACCCGAGCGGGGTCTTCTCGGTGCGCGGCCTGGAGCGGGTGCCGCGCGGGCGGCCCTGCCTCGCCCCAGGTAATACCGGAGCCTCGGCGGCGCCCCTTTCCCCCCTCTGCCGCGAAGTTGCCGAGCCCGGACTCGAACCCGGCTTTGGCGCTTTGTACCTCCCCTGGCCTGCGCACTTGCGGGTCGGCCGCCTCACTACCCTTCCTTCCTGTCTCTCACTCGGTCAGGCTTCCTGATGGTAAGCATCACCTGCGGCCCGGTTAAAAATACAGGATCCTGGGACCCTCCCAGCCCTCGTAGAGGGAATCTCCAGGGGAGGGGCCCCGGCATCCGTGTTTGTCACAAGCCCCCTCCCCACAGGTGATTTTCTTTTTCCCATCAACTTTTGGGAAACACTATCCTAGGACACTTCTGCTCGTCCTTATCGTCTGTACTCAAAGGTACCTTTCCAGGGAAGCCCTCTACTCCCTGCGAACAGGGAGACCCTCCTGTACCTCTCCTTCCTGGGACTGTCTTTGGCTGTAGTAGTTCACTAATGTCGGCCCCTCCTAGACCACTGCTGCTCAAACTTGAGCGTGCATCAGACTCACCTGGAGGGCTTGTCGAAGCTCAGGTGGCTGGGCTCCACCCTCAGGGCTTCTGAGTCGGTGGGCCTGAAAATCTGCATTTCTGACCCTCTCAGGTGATGCTGTCACTGCTGGTCTGGGGGCCACACTTGGAAAAACCCTGGGTCAGACTGAGCTGCCGGAGGGCGGGAGCTGTGTGGTTGACAGCTGTGGCCTCAGCATCTGGCGCAGTGCCTGGCACACAGGGCTCTAAGAGCCAGTTGTTTTGATTGACAAGCATTGGGCACCCAGGATCTCATGTCACTCATTCACTGGGCTGTTAATTGAGCATGGGTTGGACATGAGGCCCCATGTGTGGCACTAGGCTGCAGCTCCAACCCAGATAGATACGTCCTGGCTGGGCGACAGACTGACAGCAGATTTCCCCGAGGATTTTTGATCCCTGTGGAACCACAAGGAGGTGGTCCAGGGAGGTTTCTGGGCCAAGGAGGTCTGAAGGACCAGTGGGCCTTTCCTCTCCTTGGTTCCTTCTCCCGTGAAATCAGGCCACATTCCCTTCTTTTTAAGACCCCTTCCTGCTCAGAGTCTTGGACACTAACCAGAGGCAGATAGGTCCCGTGGCCTGTCCTGGGCTGCTTTGGGCTCAGACTTAGGTTGAGTTCCTGGCTTCACCCCTTCCTAGCTGAGCTGCCTGGAGCAGGTTGCTTAACCTTTTTGGATTTATAATCCTTTCTTAAAAAGGGGATAATAATTCCTCCTGTTGGGTGGATTCAATAAGTAAACAATCGCCTTAACTCAGCGCTTAGCTGCTTAGCTCATAGTAAGGGTTCAGAAAATTTGACTCTTGTTATCATCCACTATAACTTGCTGCTGCTCCCTACTCCCTGCTCCCCTGTGCCCCTTACCCCTCAGCCTCTGCCCTCAGCTGCAGCGCTAAACTAGCACAGGATCAGTGAACTGCAGGCTGCCTCTTTTCATGCACTTTGCAAACTATACACAGTCTTTACATTTTTAAATGGTTGAAAAAAATCATGACATGTGAAAAATTACATGAAATTCAAATGCCAATGCTCGTAAGTGAAGTTTTATTGGAACGCGTTGGTAACTTACATATGTCCAGGACTGCTGTCCCACTACATCTATAGAGTCGCGTAGTTGTGACAGAGACCTTACGGCCTGAAAAGCCTAAAATATTTACTGTCTGGCCCTTTGCAGAAGAAGTTTGCCAATCCTTGGCTTTAGACTTGGTGTAAGTCATAACCCATGCTGCTTGGTGTCTTGGCCCCCATGCAAAGCCCCTCGAAGGCAGGCTTGGGCAGTCTGCATGTTTGGTCCCACCCAGCCCTGACATACACCTGGTACCCAGTGGGTACCTCAGTGTTTGAACAAATGGGCATCAGTGAACCTGTCTGACACACCCACCGGCCTGAATGCACCCTAGCAGGGGCCATGTCACTACTTCTTACTGTTTAATGCCAAGTCTTGCTTGGCAAAACTGAGTCACTTCCTCCAGACAGGGAGCCATGGAAGTAGGCAGGCCACTAAAACACAAGTGATACTGTAGGCATGAGCACAGGGCGCTGTGGCACAGGGCAGCGACAGCTGGTCCCGGCCGAGGGGTCAGGGAAGGCACCCTTGAAGAGGCAGCACTAAAGGATGTGTTGGAGGTATCTAGGGACCAACCCTCCTGGGTTGCCAGTGTTAATATGGGGCTTTCCATATTAACACTGGGGCAGTTGGGCACCCCGAGTCCACGTGCAGTGGGAGGAGAGTGCTCCCTGGAATGGCATGTGCAAGGGCTTGGGGGTGAGAGCGCCCAGTGCCTCAGGTGGGAGGGGGCTTGGGACAGCAGGTAGAGCAGCAGCGAAAGGTAGGCGGGTCCCATCCTGAGCAGCTTCAGTGGCCACCTGTGGAAGGACCTGCCCGCTTCAAGGCGGACTTGAACTCTACTCGCCGTGCCTGTGCACCAGCTGTTCCCTGCCCCCTTCTCTGGCACATCCAGAAGTTTGTGTCCATAAACCCCAGGTGCAGAGTGGAAACTCTCCCTGCCCTGGAGTTGCTCCCAGTCTGCAGGGTGGGGGGAGCAGAGAAACAGATGACCCAGCCTCACTGTGACCTGCCAGGTTTCGGAGGCAGTTGGATTTGAGAACGAGGGCTGCAGCAGGGTGTGGGGATGGGTTTGAGGAGGACAAGGCCCGAGGGACAAGCGGGAGCCATTGGCGTGGTCAGGGCAACCCAAGGGAGGGGGGTATGGGGAAGAGGGCAGGTGGTGGGGGCTGCTTTGCAGGGAAAGGGGGAGGGGGTGGGCAGAATGAGCGGGACCTCCCAGGTTTGGGCGATCTCATGCCCCAAGCTCATCCATCCAGTGTGTGCCCTCCTAGCAGACCCCCTGGTCACCTGGTTGGGGCCTCAGTCATTGTGTTTCTGGCGGCTCCATCTCTACCAGCACGTTAGGGCCGTCCAGAGGGATGGCAAGCGCGTTTTTAGAACTAGCCTCTGTCACTGGGGCCCAAGCATGTGAGTTCAGAGTCACAGAGCACACCCTGCCAGGGGCTGAGCACCCGAGGGTCACGGGTCAGCTTGCCTGGCTTCCTTCAGTCAGCCCGGGGCCCCACGTGCAGTGTGATAACAGCGGCCTCGCAGGGCCCTGCGGCGGGGCTGGCTGCGTGCCTGCCCTTCCTGCAGCGTTGGGAGTTTTCTTTTACACAATCGAGTTTGTGTGATTAAGACTGGCCAAGTTTTGCTTTCAAGGAGAGAGTCACTTCCCCAAGGGGATGGGAAGAGAATCACGGTGAATATGTCATTAGATCATCCCGGTGGCAGCCTGCCCTTTTGTGGATTTGCTCGTGTGTGCCCAGCAGTGTCGGGATAAAGCTGGAGGTGGCAGGGATGAGTCCTGGGCAGCTGGCACAGTGGCGGCTCGGGGATGCTGCTGGCCCAGCTTTTTTGGCAACGTTGAGGGAGAATTAGATTAGCTTTGGGGCTGTCAGGGGGTGTGTCTGCAGAAAGAGGACCGTCCTGTGCAATGAGACCAGTCACATACTCTGGAGCATTGAGCAAGGAACAGGATTAGAGAAAAGCTTGGGTTTTCTGCCCCTACCTTAGAGGAAAATAATTATAACTCAAACTCTGATGCAAGAGTCTCTTCCATCTCTTGGGCTTGGTTACTGTGTGCACGATGATTTCATTTAACACATTAAAACCAGAAACCAAAGGTGATACAGATGTCATCCTCCAAGTTAAATGTTGTAGTTAATATACATGTGCATCCCGATCACTGACTGCCTTGCATTTTGATATCTACTATCTGAATGTTTTTCTGTCCCTAACTTCCCTCTCTCTGACCAACTTAGACTCTCTGGAGGACCGGATCTGTTTCCTCCCCACCCTCTTATGATGAACGGTAACGATGGGCTTTTCTTCTTTTTCCAGGAAAGTATGTGATGGTGATGGGCGTGGTTCAGGCCTGCAGCCCAGAGCCATGCCTTCTGGCTGTGAAGATGACAGATCTTTCTGATAATCCCATCCATGAAAGCATGTGGGAACTAGAAGTGGAAGATTTACAGAGGAATATTCCTTGAGGTTGGAACCGTCCTTAAAAACACCTAGAATTTCTGAAACAATTTAGGCTCTTATAACCCTGCGGATTTCACGGGACATTATTCAATGTGCATTTCTCAAAAGTTTCTCCGCTTTGCTTTGGTTGACCAAGGAGTCCAGATGTAGGAATTTGAAAATGCTGGGATCCTTCAGTTAACACGCCTCTGCTGCCCCTTGCTCTGTGTTTGCTGATGAAAAGCAGATGCTATGCGGTTTTGTTTTTTTTTTTCCTTTTTGGTTTGTGTGTGTGTTAATTCTCTCTCTCTCTCTCTAAAGTACACAGAAATCTCACGTTGCATTTTCCAGATTTTACGAGTGATGACACTTTTTCCGTGACTGCTGCATGTCCGTTTTACGATGCAAAATTTGACTCCCAGTCATTGCCCGTGGTGACTGAAGTGCGGCTACGGGCAGGAAGACAGGCTGTGTAGAAACGGAGTGACGCCATGGCTCCTCGGTGTCCTCGTCAATGGCCGCCCTGTCCAGTTTGCAAGTCACGTGGCAATTCCCAGCGGCAGGCACGGCGGCCCTCGAGGATGCAGGTCCCTTTATGCTTCGCACGAGGCTCAGACACGTAAGGTCCCTTTCCCTCCGTGAAGGCGACACCTTCTTCCTTCTCTCGGAGATGTTGAGCCGTTTTCAGATTTTCTCGTTGAAATGAAAGAAGGTTGAGAACAACTTTCAGGCCTTAGCTAAACTTCCGCTTCGTGACTTTTGGCAAGACGCTGCAAGGGGGCGGCCTCCTCCCGGTTCGAGGTCCTACGTGTTTTGTGTGGAATGGCCTTTCGTCATGTTTGTATTGAACGCCGGGTTTCTGCGAGCTGCTTGTCACCCGTGCCTGATTTTTCTTTAGATTTGTAAACGTCAAGGGAGTCGGATCACGTTCTGACATTGCCATGCAGTTTAGTCTGATTTTTACCACTAATAAATTTTTTTATATGCTGTCTGTTTTTTTAAAAAATAGACTTTACTTTTTATAGCAGTTTTAGGTTTGCAGAAAAATGAAACAAAATACTGAGAGTCCCCATATATACTCCACACTCACACCCCGTCCCCCATTATTAATGCTAACGTCTAATATAGGGTGGTGCCTTTGTTACAGGTGATGGGAGAATACTGACATACGTTCCTGTTAATCAAAGTGCACAGTTTACATTAGGGGTCACTCTTGGTGTTACACAGTCTGGTATTAACAAAAGCATAAGGACATGTATCCACCGTCACAGTGTCTGCAGAACGATTTGCCCTGACATCCTCTGAGCTCTGACATCCGCCCCTCCACTGCCCCCAACTTGGCAACCACTGACCTTACCTCTCTATAGTTTTGCCTTTTCCAGACTATCATATGTATTGACAGTTGGATCATTCAGTACGTAATTTTTTTCAGACTGGCTTCTTTCACTTAATACACATTTACGTTTCCTCCATGTTGTTCAGCAGGTTGATAGCTCATTTCTTTTTATCGTTGAATAATATTCCACTGTATAGATGTACCAGAGTTTATTAATACTTCACCTATCAAAGGACATCTTGTTTGATTCTAATCTTTGATGATGATGAATAGAACAGCTGTAAACATTCATGCCCAGGTTTTGTGTGGGCATAAGTTTTCAACGCATTGGAATAAATGCCTAGAATTGTAATTTCTGGGTCATATGGTTAGCCTTGTAAGAAACTGCCAGACTTCTTCCAAAGTGGCTGTATCATTTTGCATTTTCACCAGTAATGACTTAGACTTCCTGTTGCTCCATGTTCTTGTCAACATTTGTTATTGTCAGTGTTTGGGATTTGCTGTGTTTTTAAACATAGCATTGTCTTTTTTTTTTTTTTTTTTTTTTTTTTTTTTTTAGAAAACCCAACACTGAGATATAGCATTGTTTTTTGAAAGTGGGGCAGATTGAAAAGTGCATTGTTTTTGTTGCCCACATGCAGTTTGTTTTGAACTGGTTTATGTTCACAGTTTGGGGGTTTTCAGGCAATAGTGCTGAGCTTTCGCAGTTTCGCAGTCCTGTAGGCCTGAATTTGAGCCCGTTATCTGTCACTGAACTTGCTGTGTGACTATGAGCAAGCTACCTAACCTCTCTGTTCTTCAGTTTCTTACAAAATGCAGATTTATACACAGCTTATAGCACCGGTGGGAGGAATAAATGAAGATATATGTAAATCACTTTTACATAGTGCTTGGCACATGGCAGGCATCAAATCATTGTCGCTGGGAAGAGGAACAGTGAGTTCTTGCTTATATCCATCAGTTGCCTTAAAAAAAATGCACAGAAAAATTGCAAAGATAATAACAAAGAGTTCCTCTATACCTGCCCCCAGCTTCTCCTATTGTTAACATCTTCCATTAGCATGGTGCATCTGTCACAACCAACGAACCAGTGTTGAGCTGTTGTTATTAACCCAAGTCTCGTCTCTGTTCACATTCCTTAGTGTTTTCCTAATGTCCTCTCCAGTCCAGGGTCCCGTTCCAGGACACCACGTTCCATTCAGTCATCCTGTCTCTCCCTGGCTGAGACAGTTGATCGGTTGTTTTGATCGCATTGAAATTTAACTTTGGTGCAAACCATGGGATCTCTGCTACAGAACTCTTAGGTTTAAAACTTTGCCACAAAATTATCATGGGGTGGCCAATAGTAGCCGCTGAGCTGGGTGTGTGGTGGCCTCCTGAGGTCGCTTAACCTGAAATCTGCCCCTCCTCCCGCTGCTCTCCCTTATCTGAAATCTGCTTTTCTGCTAGAAAACCGACCCGCACTGGGGAGAGCCATATCCTGCCCGGTTTGTCCTCACCTAACTTCTGGTAAACGATACCCGATTGGAAAATGCTGGTTGAGCCGACATGGTTGCCCGGGCAGTAAACCTTCTCGGGATGGGGGGGGGGGCGGGAAGGCGGGGAGTCACTTCTATTTGTGAGCTGTGTGGTTTCTCTGAATATTAATAACTTTCACTGTCTCGGCTAGTGTTTCCTCCTTGACATCACCCAGTGAAAGCGTGTCGGGAGGTTCTAGTTTCCCGGTGCCAGAGCCCAGCTGGTCTATCAGCGAGCGCCCCCCTCCCCGCCAGACAGCCCGCGCCTGTGCGCTCGAGCAGACCCGCTTCCCTTTCGAAATCGGCTCTTTTCTAAGAACTGAAAATAAGCAACCCAGGCTGTGACTTCACTTTTCTTGGAACTGCTTTACATTACAAAAAATACATACACAAAACCCTCATCTGGCCGGTTTGGGATAGCCAAGTTCCCCAATCCTTTCTGTTGCATGTTCTTGTAAAGCTGAAGTTTTACTGAAAATTTCTTCTGCATCAGGTGAAGCAGGAGGGAAAAGGAATGGCCACGTTTGAAAATAGCGGAGTGTTTCGTCTCCCGGCCTGTTGGTGTGTGGTTTAATGGTTGGAGGGAAAAAGAACCTGGGAGAGGTCTGTGTGTAGAGTAGCCTTCGGATTCCAAGGGTCACAACCCTGAGATCTGCCGGGCCACCAAAGGGGCTGGTGTTGCTAAACCTCAGGCCACGATCCAAAGTCACTGAGCAGCTGCCTGTTGCAAGGATAAGGGGAACCATGCATTTTCAGCCATAGTGACCTACATTTAGTACACGTTTTGGATCCTGTGTAAGAGGACATTTTCAAGGGGCCCCTGCCTGCTTAGGGTCAGGGAGACAGCAGTATAGTCACACCTGGTGTCCAGTCCCTGTCTGACCTTGGGCTTGGAGGTCGGTCTGTGAAGTAGAGAGAATTCTGTCTTCCTATGATGGTACCTGGTGGGCTCTTAGGGACTGGCTGAGATGCCATTGCTGAGTGCAGATCTCTGCAGACGGGCACATAAGTGGTTCTGACATGTCTGTTGGGATCTCTGTCCCCACTGGAGTTGCTCCCAGTGATTGTATCGTATTTATCTGTGTCTCTCTGCCCAGCACGGGGCCTTGCAGCTCAGTAGTTAGGATTAGCTGGTGTTTAGGCTGGAACACAGAGGAAATACTCATAGACAAGCAAAGGCACAACATGCCCGAATCTGCACTTGGCTCATAGCAGTTTTCACAAGCAAGGAACCCCCTTCTAGGCCTTGCCTAAGAGGGCCTTTGAACCGGACACCCCTGCGTAGTTTATAAGGGCATAACGGCTGGAGGGTCTGGCAGGGGTGTTTGAGAGCCTTTGAAGTACAGAGGGAAGCCAGGGTAAAGACATAAAAGGGCAGAGGAAGGGAAGAGAGACAGCCAAGTCCAAAAAAGGATCCCTGTGGTTTGGGCAGAATCTGAAACGATAGTCCTACGAGAATCATTAAACGTCTCTTAATAAAGAACGCAAATTCAACTAAGTTAAGTGCTAAAAGCCTTCCCTCTCCCCCCCCACCCCCCACCCTGCCCTGTGCTTCATTTTACTGTCAATACCCCTGGGAGGGGTGTGCCCTCCTCCACCACCCGTCTTTTGCAGCCGTGGGAGCTGCCGCAGAGATGAAGTCCTTTGTCCAAGAGCATCTGGCCGGCAGACCCTAGAGATGGGTCTGGGCCAGCAGGTGCCCCTCGTTAGGGACGCTCTGTTTTTGCTGGTGGCCAGGACCTTCCTTCTGCACTGCGATGGCTCCTCTTAGAGCAGCTCCGGGAGCTGGTGGTCTTTACAGGGGCGCGAGCACCCCCTGCCGGCCTGTCCTGGCAGTTTGGCCGCCCTGAGCCATCAGAAACGGGGGTGACAGCCAGTCACCAGAGTGAAAGGTGGCAGAGTGAAGCAAGGCACAGCACAGGCAGCTGTCCACCCGGGAGTCCAGCACTGTGGCGGGGGTGGGGGTGGGGGGGGGGAGCGGCGTTGCATTCGGCACCCAGATGGGCTCTGACTAACGGGCCTGCTTTTAAACCCCAGCCCCACTGTGTATTGCCTGGAGGGCCTCGGGTGGGCGAGTTTCTGCACCTCCCCAGCCTCATTTCTGGTATCGGGAGGGAAGGGGTGATTTGGTGCCAGACAGGTTAAATTACTTGTCCACCTGGCTGTTAACTGGCTTCCAGGCAGCCTGAGCAGGTGCTTTAAAAAAGTTCACTTTATGGGCCTTTCTGTCGCCAAACACCTACTCCGCACCTGCTGGGCTCCAGGCTCTGGAGGTACACAGCGAAGAAGACACGTGGTAGGTCTCTGCGCCCCGTGCATCTTCTGCGACCGCCCATTGTGCCTTCTGTCTCCTGTTTCAGCCCAAGAAAGTTCTCTGCTTTTAAGAATTTGTGAATGGGCTGGGCGAGGTGGCTCACACCTATAATCCTAGCACTCTGGGAGGCCGAGGCGGGTGGATTGCTCAAGGTTAGGAGTTCAAGACCAGCCTGAGCAAGAGTGAGACCCCCTGTCTCTACTATAAATAGAAAGAAATTAATTGGCTAACTAAATATATATATACATATATATATTTATATTATATATATTAGCTGGCATGGTGGCGCATGCCTGTAGTCCCAGCTATTCACTCAGGAGGCTGAGGCAGAAGGATCGCTTGAGCTCAGGAGTTTGAGGTTGCTTGTGAGCTAAGGTGGCACCACGGCACTCTAGCTCGGTCAACAGAAGTGAGACTCTGTCTCAAAAAAAAAAAAAAGATTTGTGAATGATATGAATGGGCTACCTGGCATCCAGGCTGATGTCCCATCTCAAGGCCCTTAATTTAATCACCTCTGCAATGTCACTTGCCCTACGGGCCCCAAAGATGGAAGTCTGTCCCAAATGCACGATGCATTCACCCTGCCCAAGAGCCTCATCCCATTACAGCATCAGCTCAACGTCCAAAGTCTCATCTAAATCTCACCTTACAAATCATCTAAATCTGGTAAGGGAGAGCCTCAGGGTAGAATCCAAACTGAGCACAGATCCTCCCCATCTGTGAGCCTGTGCAACTCACGGAGCAAGTCACCTGCCCCCAGATACAATGGGCAGCGAGCTCAACGGGTGCAGTCTAGCTCTGTCCCTGGCCCTAGGGACCT